CTGTTCCTATCCATATATTGTTTCATCCTGTTAATTGCATTCCAAACTTTTTAGACAATACTCTTAACGCTTTCTAGATTTTAAAGTTCTTCCCCATACTCTCTCCCTAGAAGCCATTTTAAACCTTTATCACCTAACCAAGTTCTTTCTGCATTTGAATAATATTCTTTAGTAATATCACCTATTTTTTAATAAAACAGACACATTCAAGATTAGTCTACGTGAAATAGATATTATTTCTCTACTTTAGTGCCAATGTCCACTAGCATGCCTTTTCTCTAAAAAAAATTCAACGTTAATCTGTAGATAGTTGTTTGTACATCTGGGAGAAAGTTTAAATGGAATTAGCAGCAGAATAAAAAAAATACTACAATGATTGTGACTGACACCCTATTGGCCAGTTCCTATCTTTAATATTTCTTTTTTATGCCAAATCAGTTTTGGAATTTTTATTGATATTTGTTTCATGCATACAAATGGATGTACATCTTTACAAATCCATTCACAGCCCAATCTTAGAATCTTGTCTATTCAAATTCCTATCTAGATATTTATTCCCTTACACATTAGTAAACTCTGCACTATTTTAAGGAGAAAATAATAGTGCAAAATTTCACTTCAGAGGAAAATTGACTACACCCAATCCCCCCCGCCCCTCCGCAATTTGTTTCAGTCATTGTGACTTTTGTATTTACTTGCCTGGCTGCAATTCAGAACTCAGAGGCTTTCCCCTCCCAAGCACGGATTTCCCATCCATCATTAACTACCTTGCACAGGGCCAAACCGAGGTTTGGTAACTGGAAATATTTCCATATAAGTTAGCGTGCAGTTGCTTTTGCCCTAAACAAAAATTATTCCTGCAACTGAATAATCTGACAAAAATCCCCAAAGACTGCAGTCTACAACATGACATTGCAGGTATCTAAGTCCTCCCTGAGTGCTTGCTAGGTAATTTAAAAAAATCATTTTAATTTAAAAATGGGAAACCCCGCAGGCTGCAAAGCAAAACTCTCCAGCAGCATACTGATCCCCAAGAACGCTTCCAGGCCTTTCAAAGTCGCCATAAACTTTTAAAGCCTCGTAGGGTTGGAAGGGCCTTGGAGATCTTGGCGTCCAAACTCCTGCTGGAGGCAGGAATCCTCAGACCATCCCAATCAAACGGATGTCCAACCTTTGCCTGAAAACCTCCAGTGTTAAATCCCCATCCCATGACTTCAGGAAGCATGCTTTTCCATTGATTAATCACTCTTCAAGTTAGGAAATTCCTCATTTTGAGCTTGGATCTTTATTTGTAAACAATTGTTCAGAGATTGTTTCTGCCCTATCCTTAGGCTCTATGGAGAACATAGCTACCCTCTCTTCCCTGTGACAGTCCTTTTTTTTTTTTGCATTGGAATACTGTCGTCATTTCTTCCATTGGCCTTCTCTTTTTTAGGCTACACATCCCTTGTTCTTTTCTTAGAAAATAGAATACTGCAGCTCAATGCCCAAGGTTTAGGGTTTTGTTTTTTTGAAAATATGCCAAAGAACAAACATAAGGTAAGCAAGAATAATTTGCAGTATAGAGTGACTTATTCATGACCCTAATAAGAATTATTTTGTGAATTAGCTCCCCTTTCCCTGTATGGGCATTTTTACATAGATAGCCATGACATTCTCAAAATTCCAAGCGGGCCCAGTAGCTCACAAAATGTCAACACTTTTCTTTGCAATTCCCAAGTAGTATTCCGCCTCTTTCATAATGAGCTCTGGCTATTCCGCCAGCAACTGTTCAGGTCACCTGCGCTCCATTGTCATACACACATAATCTACTACACGGGTGTCAAACTTGCCATGTCACATTGCCATCACATGATGTTGTGTGACATTTTTCCCATTCGCGGAGCTGGGGTGGGCATAGCCTGTGTGTGATGCATCTGACCTATGGGCCGCCAGTTTACACCCCTGATCTACTACAACTTTATTTTTTTAAATAAATTTTATTAAACATTTGATCTACTACAACTTTAACATCACTCTGAAGTTTCCCTGAACAGGTGAGTCTTCCATCATACTTTGTGCCTACCATCAAGGTTCTCCTATTTCTTCATAGCAGAATTCCTTCATGGATGCCTTCCCAGTTTGTTGCATTCAGTGGTGAGATTCAAAAATTTTTACTACCAGTTCTGTGAGGGTGGCTTGGTGGGCGTGGCAGGGGAAGGATACTGCAAAATCCCCATTCCCTCCCCACCCCACTAACCTGCTTTTCAGCTCCATTCTCCTGTGCAGGGCAACAAAAGAAGACCCAGCCGATCAGCTGGGACACGGGAGGCAGAGAATAGATGGGGGCAGAGCCTGTCAGAGGTGGTATTTGCTGGTTCTCCGAGCTACTCAAAATTTCTGCTACCAGTTCTCCAGAACTGGTCAGAACCTGCTTAATACCACCTCTGGTTGCATTACAATTCACTATCCTTGGTCAACATGTTGGATGGAGGGGATGATGAGAGTTATAGTTCAACCCATTTGAAGAGCACTAGGTTTTAAGTGCTTTTATCAATGATATTTGGTGGAAAAAGATGGTGATCTTTTTTATTTAAATCTATTTATATGGTTGCCTACTGTGCAAATGCAGCTCTAAGCAGCTAACCAATGCAAAGTATCAATACAAAGTAATAAAAGAACATCCAATTCAAATAGAAAATAGCAACCAAGGAAGCCTAATCATGGGCTCAACTAATATCCTGACCCCCAGGCCAACAAAAGGGATTTGTACCTCTATGCCTTAATTTTGCTCTGTAACACTTATTCCACCCATCCTTGGGCACTTCATTTATGTGTTCATTTATGCAAAGATTAAGTTCTTACTCTCTAAGGCCTCCGACAGTCAATCTTTCCTAGCTAGGCTAATCAACTTTCCTTTGACAGACAATGCCAGGATTGAAACTTGCTGCCTTCTTATTTAGCTTATAGCTTGCCTTAAAGTGTAACCCCTTTTATTTATTTTACTTTAAGTAATTAAAAAATTAAAAAATATATTCAAATAACTACAAACCCTGCCCCTGAAAAGCATAAATAGCAATAAGCAAAACAGAAAAGCAGAAAATTATAAACAACCTGAACCATATTCAATCTTGCAATTATGAACCATTTATAGACAAGTCACCTGAATATCAAGTATTAACACACTGTACAGAAGTGAGCAGTTGGTGACAGGAGTGGGGAGGACAGTGTGGGACCCAGTGTGGTGGGAAGCAGGCCCAAGGCTTGCAGGGAGTTGGTGGGGGGAGATAGGTGAAGGGGCAATGCAGCATCCCTGTAGTTGGACATAAAGACGAATCCACCCAAATTTTGTTCAGGTGACAATGGGGATTCTGCAATGACTGTAATCTCAAAATCAGATTATAGGCAGCTTTTCAGGGGTGTGCTATAACTTCAAATGGTCGTTAAATGACTGGTCATAAGTGCAGGATTATGAATATTTCAAATTAGAAAAATTGAAATAAAATAAAAACAAAAAAACCCAGCTTCCTAATTTGAGTATAATTCCTTCATGATGCCAAATGTTCCTTGCGCTCCTTTCAACATGCCAGATCTGTAATTTCCCAGGACTTTTACCCCTAAACCTCTTGCTTCTCTTAAATTTATGTATATAATGACTACCAAGAATCATGTGATAGCCACGCCAAAAATTCCTTTACAATGAAACATTACAGGTTGGAATGAGGGTTCTCATGAAGCTCATTCATTCCCATTTACGGCTGTCTCGGACCAGCAACAGAGATGTCCTATTTCCCAGCAGATTATTTGTGAGTCCGAAAAAATATAAAATGTCCTTTGATTTCTCTTTCCCTTTTATTTTACTTTGATGTGGTCCCCCTACCTTGGTAAAGCAGTCCATTTTGTAATCCTGATTTCCCTAATGTGGAACTCCTGTGTACAAGTGGGAATTGCTACTCCCAGAATTTCCATTCCTGTAGGTTTGGACCCAGCATGCTTGCAAATCAGCAGGTTGAAGAGTATCTTTAACTTAATTAAATCAGCTGCCTACATTAAGCAGGATTCTTCACCCATTAATCTCAGTATCTAAATCTAACTCTACCCTATTATCTATTACAGGGGTCTCCAACCTTGGCAACTTTAAGACTTGTGGACTTCAACTCCCAGAATTCCTCAGCCAGCTTTGCTGGGAATTCTGGGAGTTGAAGTCCACAAGTCTTAAAGTTGCCAAGGTTG